ATATATTTTTTTTTTCCAAAAATGAAAACCGTGTCATTATTTAGCTATTCATTATCATGACTTCACTTAACTCTTCTGAGACATGGTTCTGCAGTGAAAATCAATAGTGACTGACCACTATTAAAACTGACTGACTGACTAACTAACTAACTAACTACCTGAATGTGAAGACTTTATCAGTCATAGAGCAAATGAGTCCAAATGCATATATAGTCTAAAATTAGCTGCATTTCTGGCTGCTTTGAATCTCCATGTGTAGTAAAGACCAGTGTAGAGAGGTGTTGTGTCTGTGTGAAGATTTGTTTTGTGCAGGTAAAGATATTAAAACCTGCCCTGTTAATTGGATCCTTTTAAAATCCTTTAAGCTGGTCTAAAAAAGTCTTCACTGCTGCCCGGACAGAGATGAACACGGTCTACCACTATGTTAGATGATACAGAAAATAAAAATGATTCAGTGCTTTCCAATGAGCAGCAAGAGAGTCCGCATCAGATTATCATTGTGCCTCCAGAGTCGACACTGAAGATAAAGAAGAAAGTAATAACAGAGGAGTATAAGCTTGCAGGACAAGTGCTCGGGATAGGCATCAACGGCAAGGTCTGGGAAATATTCCAGAAGAAAAGTGGCAAAAATTATGCCTTAAAGGTATTGATTTGTATTAATCCTTTTAAAATACCTTTTGAGGAAGTATGTTTATTTGTTTATTTGCATTGCAACTAATTTTCTAATTTTTCAAGCAAATAAAAAGAATGTAAAAAGTGTTGTTATTAATGACATTTGTGCATGATAAAGTCTTATGGTATGATGGTTACCCTGTTGAAAAAATATGTTTTGAAGCATGGCTGCTGGTTTGAGCTGGTCCTTAGCTGGTCATGTGCTGGTCCTAAGCTGGTCCTAAGCAATTAGCTCCTGTTCAGGACCAGCTTAGGACCAGCACATGACCATCTTAAACCAGCACATGACCAGCTTAATCCAGCTCAAACCAGCAGCATGCTTCAAAACACGAGCATATGCTGGTTTTTTCAATAGGGTCAATTAATTTCTCTCCGACATTCAATGTTTATACTACTGTACATGATCTCTTTTGTGTCCAGGTTTTCATATAATTAAAAAGCTTTGGTAAATAGGACCAATCGGGTATTCCTTGAAATAAATAGAAATTTTTAAATGTAAAAACTTCATTGGATTCTTGTTATGTAGTCAAGGAACTGAGGTGCCTCAAACCTTTTCCATTATATTAGGGTTACTGGAGCTATTAACGTCTGTTGTTGAGTTCTGGCAGGAACTTATGGGATCCATTAAGCACTTAAGCTATAGACTTTGTAAATTCCTCAAAAAACTGCTTAGACATTCTCCAGGAGCTCTGCCAGTGTGGTAATTTGAGAAACCCTATATATAGCCTCAATTATCTTTAGATTTTTACTCAGATATCCTTCTTGGCACTCTCTGTCGTTCATTATCTGCCTATGTAATGCCATTGAAACTATTCCACATGACAAATACACAAAACAAGTTTAAAAAAATACATTTTACAATATATTTTCAAATGTACTTTAGGCAGGGCAAGAAAATTAATTTCCAACAATAGCCTATACATTTAGAGTAAATACAGTTGTGGGTGGAATAGGCTAGAGATATTCATTCATTCATTCATTCATTGTAAAGTATGTTCCTTGGTTATTTTTCTTCAAATGTGAATGCGTTTTTTCAATATATGGAGGGCAAAATATATTTTATGAATATATATTTTTTTATTTTTATACATTTTGAAATATATTTAAAAATACATTTGAAAATATAAATGGTATTGCTTACAAATGACATTATTAATTTATACTGTCTATAAGGGTTTCATTTGAAGTCTGAAGCTCTTGAACGCTCACTTTCAGATGTTGCGGGACACCTCTAAGGCTCGACGGGAAGTGGAGCTTCACTGCAGGGCATCGAGCTGCCCCCGTATCGTAGGAATTGAAGATGTCTTTGAGAATTACTACCAAGGCAAAAAGTGTTTGCTTCTGATCATGGAGTGGTAGGGCTTGTTAACACAATTAAAGCAAAACCAATATACCATTTATAATAAACCAGATTGAAGTGCCTTCATAACATATTTTTTTTCAAAGAGCTTTTTAGGTGATATTGTTTTCGATTTTTATAATTTTAATTTTTATAAATGTATTGTGTTTATCCATTTCCAATACAAGTCTATGACAAAAAAAGCATGAGATTAATGAGTCAAAATGCTGCATCTGTTACATAAACAGTATGGAGGGGGGAGAACTCTTTCGCCACATTAAGGAACGTGGTGATCAAGCTTTCACTGAAAGAGGTACAGATCCTCACAACACACACACACACACACACACACACACGTTCTGATGAGAAAACAGTGAACACATCACAGTTACTAATTCTCTATTTTTGGTTTCTCCTTACACATGATGAGTAGAAGCCTCGGAAATAATGAGAAATATAGGAGAAGCTGTGGAGTTTCTGCATGGTATTAACATTGCTCACAGAGATCTCAAGGTGAGCTACTGTGTAGCCATTATTATGCATCAGCACTATATTATATTATACACTATATTGTTCAAAAGTTTGGGGTCAGCAAGATCTTTTTTTATTACTTTTATTGAGGAAGAATGCAATAAATTGAGCAAAAGTGACTGTAAACACATCTTTAATATTAATATTAAAAATACGTATTAATATTAAAATAGAAAATATTTATTTTTAATTGTAATAATACTTGACAGTATTACTGTTTTTATATCAGGTTTATCCAAATGATTTTATGATATGGAACCTTTAACATAACCTAGCCATGTACTCAAAGTTCTTTTTGATAAGTGACAGAAAGACAAAAAGATACACAGAAACAATGCTGAATGGTTAGAGATGGTGTTTAAACTCTGGATGAGCGTCACTAAGTTGAAGTATAATTAAGGCAGAACGTATTAAAGCCATACTGTAACTTTGTAAATTTGCTAGTTTTCCTGAGGCCATTTGGCCTATCCTACATGTAACTGTTGGATCCTGCAGTGGTTTCCATTTTAAAATGTAGCCAGTTAGGTTTCTTTGACTTTAATTAAACATAGCAATTTAATAACTGCATTTAAACTTGCAAATGATCTAACCGAGAATACATTTTACTGCACATTTATAGAAGAACAGTCATTCTGTAATCTTATACTCACTCTGCAGGAAGCTAAGACGAAAACTCAACATGTAGAGTTCATTTAGAAGTCAATCAGTATTTCAGACCATTTAAAAAAACACTGCTGAAAATGTTTCCTATTACTTGTTGGGTCCTAGTGTGAAAGCTTCAAATAAGATCATAAGAAATTAGTTTCTATTAGGTTCTAGTTGCTTTCACGTTTCACATTTGACTTTAATTAAACATGGCAATTTAATAACTGCATTTAAACTTGCAAATGATCTAACCGAGAATACATTTTACTCCACATTTATAGAAGAACAGTCATTCTGTAATCTTATACTCACTCTGCTGGAATCTAAGACGAAAACTCAACATGTAGAGTTCATTTAGAAGTCAATCAGTATTTCAGACCGTTTAAAAAAACTGCTGAAAATGTTTCCTATTACTTGTTGGGTCCTAGTGTGAAAGCTTCAAATATGATCATAAGAAATTAGTTTCTATTAGGTTCTAGGTGCTTTCACGTTTCACATTTAATTCAATGTGTTACTTGTCATTTCTTTGTAACTATTTGTGAAATTTACCAGTAGGTATATTAATAATTAACGACATAGGAAGTACTTTTATAACACACATCATAAAGCTAGATTTCCATGCATTTCTCTTATATTTAATTTCCAATCTTCTCTTGATTGGCAGCCAGAGAATTTACTGTACTCTTCAAAGCATCCGGATGCCCAGCTCAAGCTTACAGACTTTGGATTTGCCAAAGAGACCACATCCAACAACTGCTTGACCACCCCGTGCTATACACCTTATTATGTGGGTAAGCAGACAAGTCAGTTTCGAGTTTAATTCGGTATCATAATACAGTGAAGCTAAAGCAAATCCTTCTCTCTCTCAGCCCCAGAGGTGTTTGGTCCAGAGAAATATGATAAGTCATGTGACGTGGTCATTAGGAGTCATCATGTACATCTTGTGAGTGAAAACAATCTGATGGTTATGAAATATCACATCAGTGCTTCATATGTTATTTCGCTTTCATTCACAACCAATATGTATCCTCTTCGGTTGTGTGGATATCCACCATTTTACTCAAACCACGGCTTACCGCTCTCACCGGGAATGAAAAAACGCATAAGGAATGGCCAGTATGAATTTCCAAACCCTGAATGGTCCCAGGTGTCGGAGGAAGGTAATTTTATAATACTTAACACTTCTAATGCCATGTTTCGTTCAAACATAATTAAATACATTATGTGATATGTCATTCTTTCTTCAATTAACAGCAAAGCAGCTCATTTGCCAGCTATTGAAAACAGATCCTACTGAGAGAATGAGCATCACACAATTCATGAACCATTCTTGGATCAATGTGAGCGTTACCATTTTAGCAATTAAAGCCTTGTTTTTGACAATTAATTTTGCATGCTGATTTTCAAGTATAAATTATGTATGTAAAAATAGGGGAGAATGATTTTGCTCCTATATATGTATTTCCATATTTAACGTTTAGCAAGACTATTTAATTTGCATATTTAATAATGTGCATTCCTAAGCGTGTTTCTCTCTCGGGATGTATGCAGAAGTCAATGAATGTTCCTCCAACACATCTACACACAAGTCGAGTTCTTCAGGAAGAGAGTCACGTCTGGGATGAAGTCAAGGTCTGTTCTCTGTATCATATATTCAGATATGCATAAATCAAACAGTTTATCATACATACAGCACCGTTCAAAAGTCTGGGGTTAGAAAAAAAAGGATTTATATTTCCACATAAATGCTTTTCTGTTGAATCATAAAACATATATAATTATTCCTACAAAAATAATAAAGCATCACAATTGTTTTCATCATATTTCTTGAGCATCAAATCAGCATATTAGAAGGAAGATCATGTGATACTGAAGACTGGAGTAATGATGCTGAAAATTCAGCATTGCATCACAGGAACAAATTACATTTTAAAATATATTCAAATAGAAAACAGTTTGAATTGTAATAATATTTCACAGTATTACTGTTTCTACATTATTTTTTTATTAAATAAATGCAGCCTTGGTGAAAATAAGAGACTCAAAAACATTACTTACCGACCCCAAACTTTTGAACAATAGTGTCTATGACTATCGGTCTCAGTCATAATTTTTTGCAAATGCTTTTGCTAAGTCTATTGTGTGTGTAATTACACAGGAAGAGATGACTAATGCCTTAGCAACAATAAGAGTGGACTATGAACAAATAAAGGTTAAACCGATCAAGGACGCGTCCAATCCTCTTCTTCTAAAAAGAAGAAAGAAAATGGCTGCTGCAATGGAAGAAGCACCAGGGCCGTGACAAACAAATGCATGTGGAAATGTGCATAGCTCTTGAGGACACTTCAGAAAATCAGATCACTTAATTGGAGATTGAGGGAAAAATGGGGCCTTTCATGGCATTTAGTCTTCATTTCTCTTTTTAAAGCCTGCACCAGTTAGTTATAGCATAAATAATATTTGTGTTAACATCTGTAAGGATGTATGAGGTGTATCACATTTACTTCAAACTGTATCTGTAGTGTAAGTGTATTTTTAATAATTTTGTTGAACGTTGTTTGAAAATAATATCCATTTTGTTAGTCACTTTTTTAAACCAAGTATTAAAGGGGTGGTTCACTGGGTTTCTAGACTTATTCTAGACTTGATTGTGTTTATGGGAACTTGTAACTTTGTAGCATTAAACTGCCAGAATTTTAAAAGACGAAATCTCCGTTTGCATTGAACTTTCAGCTTTGTAACTTTGCAGATATTGTTTATGCTCAAACAGCAACATTACACACTAACTAACATTAGTTCACTCACAAAAGTGAAATCGCAATCAACCACCCCTTTAATGTTTGCTGTGTGTAATAATGCAGGGGGAGTTTGTTATGCATCCTATTAAAAAACAGCAGCCAAAAACATTACACCACGATGTTATATAAACATTATTATGCATTAATTAAATAAAGTATGTATTAATCTGCATTAAGCTGAAGAAATGACTGCTGGTTAAACATGCCCTTGGGACAAATGAGTAATTGACTCCATATGAGTATTTTGCACATTATGTTTGTTCTGACATCATGATGTCATTAAATGCACCATGGCCAACAAATAAATACGGCTATATAAATATTTCCAAGTATTCTGAGCATTTCTTAATACGATGGAACTGATTTGCACATAAGAACAACACCATCCATTCATTAAAAACATTTATAATGCAAACAATGGCTCTTAATTTTGAACTTTTTGGTATTTATGACTTGCCTTTTTTTTTTTTTTTTTACTTTTCTATACAATTATGTTTTAAAAAGTAACGTTTAACACGTAGCTTGTGCTATTGCTAGCCAGCTGGTTAACTGCAAGAGATCCAGTTGGGCTACTTTGAAACATCCAGTTTTACTGTTTTCACTAAAATCCATCATGTTTTCACTACACAAGCTATTTGTTGAGCTTAACATTAAGAAACCCCTTTTCCAGTATGTAAAACCACTGTAATTCCAACCCAAGATAAAACGTGTCCCATCATACTAAGTAAAATGCCCCAGAAATGCACGCACACACGCACAAAGGCTCATCCCGTGTAGGTATAATGATAAGGCTGGGGTCCCATCCTGACGGAATCTATGAAGTAAGGCTGTTAAAATGCAGATGTTTTGCCTTCTCACACATGGCACTCATATTCACAAAGCCTCAAGGCACAAAGCACAGCATAACATGTAAGTGAGGCAGTAGACAAAGCTTTACTGTATACTGGCTTTACACTGAAGGCTCTGGGCTGTGCAACATCCATTTACTGGAATGTGATTTATTGTATAAATACTGTAAAAACGGCTGTACAGGACACATTATATAAGGTACAGTTAATTATTTTTCTTCTGCATGTGTATAAATGTATTTCAGAATTATAAGAATATGAGTGTAATACAAACATTCATGATGTGCCAGGATAATGATTTTATCGAGATGTTTGAATGCAGCATGATTTTTCTTATTCTCTCTCCATCTTGTTTCTGTACTTAATTTTTTTCCCACACATAAAAGGGGCAAAAAGACAAAAACCAAAAAGCACAGAGGCTACAACAACAGGTATGTGTTTAATCTTTTTAATTTAAGCAGATATATTGCATAAAACCAAATGCATTATGAAAGTTTTTTTTGTTTTTTTTTACTTAAGAAGAGGAGTGCATTTTTGTCCATGCAGTTTATATAGTAGAACGACTGAATTGTTTTTACGGAATAATTATTTTATTGCAAAATATACTCCAATAATTACAATGTTGAAAATTCTTTTTATTATTCTTTATTCTAAACGACGTTATCTCATTTCAATAAAGTAAATCTGCTCTGATATGTAGTTACTTAAACATTAAAGGGAATAATGTTGCATCATTGGCATTTTTAAATACATTTATGTCTTCAGCCAAAAACCTGAAATGTAATTTGCAATAAATACATAAATAAAATAAAAAAGAGAGAAGGTATACAGACATATATGGTAACTTGACTACCCTTTTATCTTATTACAATAAAAGTTATATAATGTGATACATAAATTAATGAATTATTTTAAACTAATTTGATTTGAATTGAACTGGTTTGATATTATTCATGGTTTTTGAAGAAAGACATAAATCATTTATCTAACAAATTAGGCATAGACACATTAATAAACACATTTGTGACCCTGGAGTCTTAAGTCGCTTGGGTATATTTGTAGCAATAGCCAAAAATACATTGTATGAGTCAAAATTATAGATTTTTCTTTTATACCAAAAATCATTAGGATATTAAGTAAAGATCATGTTCCATGAAGATATTTTGTAAATTTCCTACCGTAAATATATTAAAACTTAATTTTTGATTAGTAATATGCATTGCTAAAGACTTCATTTGGACAACTTTAAAGGCGATTTTCTCAATATTTAGATTTTTTTGCACCCTCAGATTCCAGATATTCAAATAGTTGTATCTCGGGGCGATTTTCTCAATATTTAGATTTTTTTTTTTGCACCCTCAGATTCCAGATTTTCAAATAGTTGTATCTCGGCCAAATATTGTCCTATCCTAACAAACATACATCAATGGAAAGCTTATTTATTCAGCTTTCAGATGATCTATAAATCTCAATTTCGAAAAATTGACCCTTATGACTGGTTTTGTGTTCCAGGGTCACATTTAATCCATAAAAATAACACCCAATACATGTTCAAACAAGAATGTAAGCATATATATTACTGTATATCAGTGTATTATTTTCAATATCGCCCCAAGATGTGAAGCTGTCACCAGCACTGAGAGCTGGATTTATCAATCTTCATCTCTGTAGTATAAACAGTACCGAACCTTCCTTTAGGCAAAACTCACTTCTCTTCACAAAAACCTTCTGTGTTTTCTTACAAATGAAAAAACCTACTGTATATTACATGTAGCATACTTGCCCAGACCTGAGAGATATTTTATGATGTCTGTTTTAACCACAACTTTGCTTTGAGAGATATAAAACATACCACACGTAAATAATGATGATGATTTCTTGTAATGATAGTATATATATGGAAACAATTGTCAGGAGGATATAAGATCTACAGTATGCATGTCTGTGCCTTAATGCTTGTGGAACACGATGTTCTTTGAAACAGCTCATATAAAACACACAAAAAATTGTTGAGTGCCTATACTGGCTCTATATAGTGGGGTCTGAAACCACTTTGGAAATCTGGGATTTTATATGCATGTCCTTGTTATTATATGTATCTATTATGTTTAAGTACATGTGAAAAATGTAGAATAGATAAATAATACGACATGAAATTTAAAAAGAAATTTCGGGGTCACTAATCAAATAAGTAAATGTGTAACATTGACATACAGGCAGGTAATGTTCTTTCTTCTACTGAAGCACAAGATACTCTTTAGTTCATTCTCATATCATGCTGGAGATCAAGATCATCATCATTATCACCACCACTAATATTAATAATAACAATCATCATCATCATCATCATCATCGTCATCATTTTATATTCATTTAAATAATTTGAAATAAAAAAGTTTTAATTTATTATGAATAAAAATCAGAATGATAATGTTATTTGACAATTTAAAGAATTTGTAATAACAAATATTAATTTATTCTGGATAATTTATAATTAAAATTAATAGTTCAATTACAAAGTTTTTTTTAAATAACAACAAAATTGTTTGATAATTTAATAATAATTTAAAGAATTTATACTGAAAAAATTATGAATATCTAATTAAAAGTTATTAATGTATTTATTAAAAATGTAAACATAATAATAATAATAATAATAATAATTTCATTTGATAATTTAAAGATTTGTAATCAAAAATTAGAAATTTATTATGGTCTCAAATTAATGAATTAATTATTTTAGTGGTCTCAAAAATGATATTTGCATATGTATTTGTGTCCTGACAGGAAACTCGTAGTCACAATGAAAGGTTGGATTTTACTGCTGATGTTGGCAAGGCTTGTCGATTTTTCCATGACACAACCGACCAACTCTTTGACCTGGCTAAGTTATCTGCGCAACCGAGCCTACAGTCACGGTTATGGCCACAGTCACAATAACAACCATGCCTCTCTAAGAGCAGAGGATGAGGATGAACCTCCTTTGCTGGACTGTCCTTTGGAGTGCGACTGCCCTCCATCCTACCCCAGCGCGATGTACTGCGACAACCGCCAGCTGCAGCACGTCCCGTTTGTCCCATCTCATATCAAGTATGTATACCTGCAAAATAACCAGATCACGACCATCACAAATGGAGTCTTTGATCATGCTCCAAATTTAGCTTGGATCAGCCTACACACAAATAAACTGAACTCTGACAAGATTGGTGACAAAGTCTTCGCCAAACTACCAAACCTCCAGCGCCTCTTTTTACACAACAACAACCTGAGCCGGGTTCCACAGGTTTTACCACGTTCCCTACGAGATCTACACATGAATCACAACAATATCTCGAAGATCCCGGTCGAATCTTTCCGTGGAATGAGCAACCTGACGGCCCTGCACCTCCAAGTGAATGCCATTGAAGACCTCGGCAATGCACTTGAGGGTCTGCATTCGTTGACCCTGTTAGACTTAAGAGGGAACCGACTGAAGAAGATTCCAGAAAGCCTGCCGCCAATGCTGAGCCAGCTCTACCTCGAGTACAACCGCATATCCAGCGTTCCTGCTGATTTTCTGAGCCAGCGGCCTGAGCTGTGCTTCGTACGCCTGTCCCACAACCAGCTCACCAATGGGGGAATTCCAACCAACGCTTTCAATGTCAGCACACTTGTGGAGCTCGATTTGTCCTTCAACAAGTTGGAGAGGATTCCCACTATCAGCACCAGTCTGGAGAATCTGTATCTCCAGGCCAACAAGATCAAAGGTACAGAAAAAAAAACATCTTGAAAATGTTACAACTCAAAAGCCCATAAGGCATGTCAAAGGCTTCTATGCAAATCTTCTCCTAAAAAATATGCCTGTTCTAATAGCATACTTCAAAACAGCCACTTATTAGAATGATATATTGCACTCCAAAACAAATACTGTATTAAAACATAGAGTTCCTTTTGCACAATATGAGTCCATATAAAAAAGAGAAAGAGTGAAATAGCATGTGTAAACTACTTCATTAAACTTCAGCCAGCA